TTGGGCACTCACCATCATCTTTCTGCACTGACCTAAAGATTTATCAAATCAAGCCAGATTCACTTTGCCCTCAAAGGGGTCCAATTTGTAGTCACCCACCCCAAAGGCAGGGGACCAGTGTGGGTGGTCAGGGTGAGGCTGAGGACATCTCCCTGGAGCAGGATTTGTGTAAGGGATGGAAGGAGATCCCACAGCCTCTTCCTGCTGCGTCCCCTGAGGCTGTGGAGCAGGTGGTGATCCAGATGTTGATGTTGGGTCATTATAATCCATACTCTTTTTGCATAATTGTGAGTGGGTGGGAGCTGCCCAGCCTGGCAATATGTTCTCAGCCCCCTTGCATCAAGGGCAGCCATGGTACTAGTTCTTTCCAATAAATATGGGCAGAAGAGAACTTTGTAGGTCACTTCTGGGCCAAGTTTTTCAAGAAGCTGGCAAACCTTCCCCACTCTGTCTCCTCCCATTTGCCGGGTGGAAGCACATAATTCCCAGCCCCAGGAACTAATGGAGGCACACGATTAACAAGTCTGGTGTGTGATTCACCAGATGGAGGACAGCTGCCAACCAAGGAGGACACGTGTGGCAAGAAATAAACTACTGTACGAAGTCACTGAAATCCAGAGGGTTATTTGTTACAGCAGCTGGTGTTACTCTCTCTAATATGCTGACCCTTCCTCTGGGCCCCTGCTGTCAGTACAGCTTGAGCACCCCCTGTCATTCTGTGAAGTGAGGCTCTAACCCCCAGTTGGTGTTCAGGCTTTCCCACAGCAGGTCTGTCCAGTGGCCCAAGTCTCTATGTTTGCCAGTGAAAAGTTATCAGTACCTTTCCCTCCATTCTTTGCACGAATGTCAACTTTCCCCCACGTTCTTATGGAAGTCTTCTTCCCTGTTGATAGCTGGAAGCCATTAAAGCAGACCCTGAAGTTCTATTAGGTCTTCCACCATCGTTAAGCAGAACCTCATGCACAGGGTCTTGTGGTTGCCCTGGAGAAGTTGGTGCTTGCCTGGGACCCCTCAGTCTGATGTGGGGTGGTTAGTGTGTGTGCATGGGGGGAGGACATTCTCATCTTCCTGCCCCTCTCTTTTGACCCCTCCATAGGGGGTGCACCTTCAGACTCTTCTTTACAGTGAGTCCCTGGTCCTGGGTACCAATTCATGTGCTAATTACAGAGCCGAGCTGAGTCCAGTGAACCCCTCTGGCTGCACTTGGATTGGTGGGTACTAGTTGAGGACAAGGGGACACCACCTCACCTCCATTCATCCTTGCTCTAACAACCCCCTGACTTGGAAGGGGCCCAAGTTTATTTATAAACTGACCCTTTTTTGGCAGACAGACTGACTTCATTGATTTGAGCGTACATGCATGTATGTGTGCGTGTGCATGTGTGTGTGTGTGTGTGTGTCCCCATCTCTTGTAGGTGTTGGGTGTGACTATTTCTTGTGTACATGAGTGGGAGTGTGGCTCACACATGTGTGCAAGAGAGAATCTGTGTGCAGAGTATGTGTCTGCTCCTGTGACCTCTCACATGTCTGAGTGTGAGTCCGTGTGTGTGGGTTTTGGAGGTGTGTGTCTAAGTGTGCGCCTGTGTATGTCCCCCGTATTTGAACGTAAGGCCAGGTGTATGTGTGTTCCAAGTGCCTGCTGTGTCCATGTGCTAGTGAGCCTCCAAGGACGTGATGTGCCTGTGTGCGGGTGGGTGTGTCCCCTCTGTATATCTGTATATATTCTGGCAGATTCTGTGTGTGGATATGAGCAGTCCCCTTCCCTTCAGGGCCCCCTCAGCTCTCAGGCAGTTTAACCTCACTCTTCCTGCTGTGGCTGTTTCCGCTGCTTCTGTCCCCTTCTCCAGATGTTGCAATTAAGTAAATGCAGCAATTAAGCGGAGCCCCCCCAAAAGAGCATCCCACCAGGGCCCCCTTCCAGGAGCTAATGAGGGGTTACAGCATGTGCAGACACACGCACGGTACTCTTCAGACACGGCAGGGATGCCCAGACTGCACGCGCTATGGCGTGAGGGCACACAGACAGCATGGGGGACCCTGTGCCTGCCTGCTTCGTCCATACTTATCCTCCAGGTCTCAGCATAAAGGTCTCCTCCTCTGGGAAATCTCCCCAACTCCCCGGGGTGGGGGGCAGAAGGAGTAGACTCTACCTCCGGGGCCCCATACCCCTCTGCTTCCCCCGTCAGAGCCCTGACCACTCTGGCCTGGGCTTCGTCATCAAAGCCCTTTTATTTTGCCCTGTGCTGCCTCATCACACCCCGACCACTCTGGCCTGGGCTTCTGTCAGGGCAGTCTGAGTCTCTCCAGTCCAAGCTTCTCCCAGCCCAGCCCTGACCACTCTGGGCTGTCTGGAGACATGTCTTTCTCCCTTTTGGAATGTGAGCTCAGAGAAGGCCGGACCTGACGCTGCCTTGGCCACACTTCTGCGGTGGCGTCATGCAGCACACAATCGTGCCCGGAAATCTACAGTACGTGTTGAACTAGCATCGTCGCCTCTGCATCTCTCTGGTTCCCACTCCCTCTGTATGTCTCTAACTATGTTGGTTTCTTTGGCACACACTTGGGGTGCTATATCCCCTCGGTCCACCAGGTTTGGGCATGGCTGTGGTGGACACTTCCACCACATTGTAGAGGTCCCCGGTGTAGCCCAGTGGTTCTCAAAGTGTGGTCTCTGGAGCAGCAGCATTAGCGTCACTTGGGAACTTGTAGAAATGCAAATATTTGGGCCCCCCTCAGGCGTACTGTATCAGAAACTCGAGGACTTGGGCCTGGAGCTCTATGGTTGACGAGTTCTCCAGGTGACCCCAAGGTGGCTGAAGTGTGAGGACCGCTGGTCTGGCTCGGGCAAGGCCTCCCTGTCTGCTTTTCTGCCTCAGAGCTCAGTTGGCTCTCGGTGCCACGCCCTCCCACCAAAGGGACAAACATCACCAAAGCACCGAAGGGCGTAAGAATTGGTGGATAAATGCCCCTCAGCCTCTCTGAACTTTGCAGAGGGGAAGGAAGGGGAGGAACGACAATTCTGATGTGTTCTACTAGGTTCCTTAATGTTCCTCGGTCCCATTGCCCAGAGAGGTACCCTGCTCCTCATCTGCACCTTCTATCAACTTTTCTCCTCCGCCTCACTGTTCCCCCTCCCTTGCCTGTTTCCTGGGGTCACCTCCCTAAATCAGCCAGTTCCACTGAATTCTCATCCCAGTCTGCTCTTGGGAGTGTCTTCCCAAGGGAGCATTTCCCTCTGTCTCCCCAGCTCCACCACTTCTGCAGCATCTCGGAAACTGTGCATGGTTTTTCTGAGTGTCTGAGTAACCAGCATCCGCTGTGCTGGGCCGGGAGCACTGATGAACTTTGGTAATTATCTGGAAAGGCGGGCCCCAGAGCAGAGTTAATTTTAGCTGCAATTTTTCAATACACATAAGTGGAAGGAGCCAAAAGTCTGTTCAGAAACCTTCAGCAGAGCCAGGGATGCCAGGGTGGATGAGCAACCACACCCCCGCCCCCAACGAGGTCGCTTGACTCCTCCACTCAGATGGGGGCTCCCGGGGGCGGTTCATGACCATTCAGGTTCCCCCAGGGTAGGGCCATAACCACAGGCCAAGGCTGTGTCCCCTTCAGACCAGGGCTCCCAAAAGATCAGGTCCCCCATGTTGCTGTAACCAAGTTCCCAGGCCCGCATCCCTCTTCCTGCAACACCATCTGCCAGGAGATATGTGGGACCCCCACCCTCCCCTCCCTTATCCTCCCACAGCATCAGGACGGGAAGACACCACTCCTGGTGAGTCATGTGTTAGTACAATTCTAGTCGAGTCCTCTGTGGGGCAGCAGACCTGAGTCAGGGAGAGGGGAAGGCAGTGAACACACTTTTCTGGGTCAACCTGGTCAGCCCCCTGCCTCTGTCCCATTTCCTATCTTCTCCTTCCTCCATGGTATATCTGGCCAGTGTGTCTTGAGGTCTAGCTCTAATTCCAGAGGGCACAGCGTCTTGGAGCCAAGTGTTCCCCTTGCACCCAGGACAAGGAGCCTGGGGAAGGAGCCATCTCCCCTCTGGCCTGAAAGATCAGGCCTGTTGCTGGGCAGGGTCCAGGTAAGGAGACTCCAGCTGTGGAAAGGACGTCCCAGGGAGGTGGTGCTGAGACAGAGTGGCAGAAGGAGACAGGTTGGGGGGGCGGTGGCTCTGGGATAAAGGGCCACATCCAAGGCTGTGAATGAGAACTGGACACATATACACATACCCATCCTCACAGCGGAGTTGCCTCAGCTCAGTCTGTCTGTCTGTCTCTCTCTTTGACTTTCTCTATGTCTCTGTGTTTGTCTATCTCTGACATGTCCTTGTCTCTTGCCTCTCTATTTCTTTCTGGGTCTTTCACTGTCTCTCTCCTTGAATATGTGTGTGTCTTTCTATCTCTCTCTCTGTTTCTCTGCTTCTCTCATTCAACTCCTCTCTGTCCCTCAATCTGTCTGCTCATCTTTTTGTCTCTGTCTCTATCTCTGTGTGTCTCTCTGTCTCAGTCTCTGTGTCTCTCTCTGTCTCTTTCTGTATCCAAGGATTCTCGCTCCCAAGCAACGCCAGGGCGACTCCTTGGGAGGTGGGGCTGGGAACGCGCCTTAGAGAGGGGGACTGCTTACACCTTTAAGCGCGGGCGCGCGCGGGGCCTGCGCCTTTAAGCGCGGGCGCGCGCGCGGCCCTGGGTTCCCGGCGAGGAGGCC